CCTAATACTACTCGCCGCCAGTTTGATGGGCACAAATCCATTTCAGCGTAATTCAACAACCGTTCCACATATACCTGACAATAAATTGGATAATACAAATTTAATTTAATGTTTACTTATGCTTACATAAAACCTCGCCAAGTATAAAGTACTGAATAATAGTGAACGAAGTACGTACCAAAGTGATTATTGCGCACTCTGCTGTTAATTGGGCAGCATGAAAAAGGGTCCTGATAAAACGATATATTTGCCGATGATCCGGATCTCTCGACATCATTTCGATTGGAATTGGATCTCTCTGAAATACTGTGTCCTAAGAATTATTTATGGAAGTGTGCCACTCGGTTTCTCCTATATTTCTAATAGAAATATCAGAGAGCGCCGTCAGTATGGATGAATATTATTCGAATTTAGGCATGAATGTCCAAATATGGTTACCGTTCCATAGCAATAAGAAGCTTAAATCAATTTCATGATATCTAAATAGCTTTTCAGTCTAGCAAGATATGAAACAAAACTAAGTTTATACGTCATATTTTTAGCACAGTTCACATGTACTTAGTTTCAAGAACATCCTTATATAATCTGATAACAAATAACAGTAACCTACCGTGATTGGATGCAGTCGTTCTTCAAAAATTTCCATCAGTCTCTCATGAGCACGATTTTTTCGATTCACAATGTGATAATAAATAGCTAAAGAAATACATTTGATCGTATTTTTTAAATTTGGCTGCGAAATGGTAGAATCATCGAGAAATATTGTCGAGCAACTATTCGACTTTTGTAACGGAGACATAACGGTGGTCAAACTCTGTGCATCCAACACATAGAACGAACGACGATTATCTTTTACTAAATATTTCAGATTACAACAACATACACTTCAGAACTGGCAGAATTCCACCTATTAAGAAATTCCAGCCAGTTTTTCAAATGTCAATTACGATGTCTTCAACAGTTTGTTATCATTTGACCTTCTAAGTGATAAATTGACATTAGTCAAGCTCCATGATATTATTTAATAAGTTAAGTTTCATTTTGTATATCAATATGCTCCATATCAAGCAAATTTATAAGTCTTATTTTTGTATTCGAGAACGGAAGGAAAATCAGCAAAAGAATCCATTAGTAAAAGTAGAGCCTGTTCATTTAAGTAAATAATTGAGCCATCAATAGTGACATAATATACTGCCACAAAGGCCAAAATCGAATCCTAATAAGATTTAAAGTGCTCAAGGCTTTGATGGTCAAAGTTGACTTCAATAATTTTATATAGAGCTTCAAAATAAGCAGCAACTATAACAGTATTATGAACTAACACTTCATTTCACTTCGGCTTCGTTCCATAAATATTGGCTTAACCATTGGCTGCGTTGATGGGTCCTCACCGATCTCTGAAATATGCGCCTTAAGAATTTTCATCAACCCAAAAAAAGAGTAAGACCTATCGAAAAATTAATTTTGGAAAAAATATTCACTTACCATCGGGCAGCTCCCTTTCACTAATATGAGGAAGAAAATTGATTGAAGTATCTTCTCTCGGAAATGTCTGATTAACATACTAAAAAAAATAATTGTTATTCACAATTTGCATCTTAAAAAACTTTTCCTAACACAAAATAGGAAACAATAGAACATTTATAAATATATTCTACAGCTATCATGTTATTAATTTCTTATTCAAAACAACCAAAAATCTACATCTTATCATCATACTGTTATCAAGGACATTTGATACGTAGATTAAATAAATAATTTTGAATTCGCATATAGCTTATAGTAAGAAAGTTTCTTCAGAAATGAGTGACATGAAATGATGTTCTTGCATTGAGACCATCTTTAGTCACATTTTAATAACACTATGATATTTGTATTAGGTTTAAACCTCGTGATTGGCCTGTTGCCTCACATCGTACATCACCTCTTTGCTTCTTGCAGCAGCTGAGGAATCTTGCAGACAGCATAGTGCATTCCCCATCAGACTCGCAATTTACTAGGATCCAATGCCGTGTCGAGTTATTTTTCTCGTCATATCTCTCTTATCATAAATTAGTCAAGTATCATATGACTTCTATAAATAAATGAATGCCCATTCATAAGAATAAAATTGGAAGAAGAGCTCTTCTTCCGATCTTTCATAGCAAACTATAAACATGTTAAACATTTCTTCTAACTGCCAATCAGAGAGTTAATGATATTTTACCTGAAAGATGTAATTTTAAAGCAAAATAGAACTATATGGTGTCTTACATGAAAATAGCAGTATCGCTACCAGTCTATCCAAATCTATAACTCTTACATTCTCGAGATCAATCCACACAACCTTACTATACTATAGCAAAACATATCCAATGGAAACAAATTTTCATTGATGCATTGGTTTCAATAAATCACGGAGATGCGATTTAGAGTGAAGCGAAGGGACATATGAAAACGCGGTTGTATTCCCATGACGGAAGGGACGGGGAAAGTGTTGTATATGAGTGGTAGGGGGGGGTTTGTCTTTTTTAGGTTTATTAGGTGTGCAAGGGCTGCATAGTGAGGTATTTGGAGAAAACAAATTTTACATGAATAGAAATGCTCGTTGTGAATAGTATCTCCCAGGAGATCTACTACATAATACCGACAATCGATCGTAAGCGCGGAATTGATTAATGGGCTTATTGTTTAATCGGCTTTATTGAAGTGGTATTAGTTCATGGCCATTCTCTAAGATGATGGAGCTTTCTTCCATCATCTTGGAGAATAGCCATGAAGCAATGACGCAGCGAAAAGTTCGAGTTGTTCCATCTATGAAAAGTCCGGTGGTTGTCTTTGGTTTATTCCTTATTAAAAAATCGTCCAGTCTTCTGGTACTCCTTAGACATAGTCTTGCTTTCTTCACTATTTCACACTAACTACATAATGTTATTGATGTACTGTAATATGGTATGGGAAGAAAAGATTTGTCAAGTGACTCTCTGATAATATGCAATATTTTGCAAAATATATCGTTATATATGATGTGGCCCGAATAATTTGCATTATTTATATGGAGTGTTTGCCGCTCGATGTTTTGATTTTTTTTTAGCTTCAAAATGATGAGTGATGGAAAGGACGTGCCTAAAGATGGGCGAAATCATCATCCGGTTGAAGAGGGTATGATGGTTGTGGAAGCAGAAGGAGAGATGCACGATGATCACTGGGTATTAGATGATCGCATGAAGCGAATGATTATGGACTTGCAAAGACATTGGCTTACAGATTATCAGCAGTCTAGAGAGAAGTTATTGGTTGAAATGACTGAACGGGTAAGTCTCGATCCCATCTGATGTAATAAAATCTGTTCATATACAGAAGCGAAATGTATCAAAGGAGACCACTTTGGAGCGGAAAATGAGGATTCATTTATTTTCGGCCTCTCATGAGCACAATTATTTCGATTCGCTAACTCAGTCGTGTTTGAAAGTGGTCACGCTACAGCAAGAGACTGTCATAATAGGGATTCCAGAAAGTTTGCAAGCAGTAGATTGTGCTTGTTGGAGTTTACCGCATAGAGTGATGAAGCCTATTTTTGGATGGAAGACTTAGAGATTCTTCTATTTAAGAGATTATCAAGTTGACGGTGCTAGGTAAAGCAACACTTGGAGAAAAATTTACCTGTAAATTTGCGTTTTTCAGCTTCATCAGGAATTTCTTTCTGATCAGCAGAAGATTAGGACCGAACTTCTGACGCAGTTCAAAGACGAACTAGATACTACGAGGTTAGTGATTATCCGGACCTGAACTTTCGATTATTCTCAGTAAATGTATTGAGATTTTTTCAGTAAAATTATAATTTCTTGCTACAGAGCTGAATTGGAGGAGAAGTATCGCGAATCTTTGAAAGTTGAGTTGGGTAAAATGGCTGAAAAACATAGAAAAGAAATATCAAGTATCAAAAAGAAACAATGGTAGCTTTTCTTCTCTTTATATTTTATTGACAAAATATGAATGTCGAGATAATTTATTATTAATCTTTTTAGTTGCAAATTGAACGATAGGAATTGAAATTTCAAATACTTCTTGCCGTAGTTTGTGCTAGGAAACTTTGTGATACTAGGAAAGTTCCGGTGATAAATACTCGTATTGTTCAGTTTTTTGGATAGAATACGATGTAACTGTCTAAATTAAAGGTGTTGGCAATGCGAAGCAGAAGCGATTTATCACTGCTGTTGGAACACAGCGTATTGCAGTGTAGAATGCCAGCAGAGCCACTGGGCGACTCATCGGAAGTTTTGTCGACGTAAGAAACAGAATGCCAGTACTCATCAACAGCAACAACAACAACAGCAAAAAAATAACAATTAGTTTATTAAGATTTTATTTCTTTGTTTGTGCCTAAGTGGTTGTGGATCTCAAGAAATGATTGTTTGTAGAGTTGTTTTTTCATTTTGTTGGCGTTTACTTCTAAACTCTGTCTCCTTTTCCATTTTATTTAATTCAATGCTTTGGAAATGGAAAAAGAAATTTGATATTTCTTAACTTATTTGGGTGCGAAACTTAACTATGTGATTTCCGCTACAATATTAATCGCCTTCCAAGGGATAGGGTTTAATAAGAGCCGCAATCCGGTATCTCTTTTATAATTTACAGTTAATTTCTTGAGCACTACCTGCGGAATCTATGAGGACAACCTTTAGGCACTGATTAGTTATGTATTTATACAGGTTATTAATCTGTTGTACAGTATAATCTATAAAGCAGTATTGTGTTTTGAGGATCATGCTTTCATCCGACAATTAATCTTTACAAAACGTTGTTTTTAATTATATTATCGGTGGCAGTTTCAGTACTGCGAAAGAAAGTTGTTCGTAAATATATTTCTGTGGTTATTTCTTTAAGTCCTGATAACCACTCTTATATTCATAATAAAGTTCAAGATCATCACTGTAGCGCCTCTGTCACTTGTTATATTCCAATGTACTGTAAATATTATCAAACTGGCTTTGTGAGACTATATATGATGAATGAGGAAAAAAGACTAGTTTGTCCCAAACACGTCATCACTTGTGAAGTTCCTCACATTCCATGAGAGATATTGAGAAGTTGGAAGAATACAGACTGTGGATGATGATTTTTAGTATGCTCTATTTCAATGAAATAGACAGGCATACTAAATCGAAACGAATAATCGGTGTCCTTTTTCTAATCTTAGTAACATTCCCAGGAAATAATACTGCATGCGACAAATTGTTTACGAGGGTAAGATTAAAATGAAAAGTCGATGTGGTAGTGCTTCGAATCCATCGAAGAAGGGAACACCAAAATCGTGGAAATCGGCAACACCACTGCGGCCAGTTAATCAAGGTGTGTTGGATTTGTAGTTATCTGGGCTCTTGTTTCCACTTTGTATTAGTGTAGTTTAACTGCATGATTTTTGAGCACTGGTTCATGTAGGTTAAAAGATGTGTAGCAGAACACGAATTTGTACTTTAGTAGGTAACAGTTATTGTTTTGCCACATTGTAGCACTTGTTTCATGTATTGATGAAGTGCATGCCACGTTCTGTCGGTGCTTTACACGAATTCGTGTATTTTGCGACATTACAGGAGCATATCGGAATTCCATTCGCACGAAACCTTTGGAAAGTTCTAATCGGTATTCGACTGTATCTGAAAAAGAGAATCATCTAAATACGCAGGTATTTTACACTGAACTGAGTGTGATAGAGATGATCACTTAGAATCCAATAGAAGCTTCTGGTGTTTTGTTTCTCCACCGATCATTACTATTTCTATTTTTAATAGAATGAACATAGTAGAAAGTTGTATGCAATAATCTTATATCTCAAGATTTAAACCGTAATTGAAAACGATTGTTCTTGCATAATTTGATGTTATTTTCTGCTCACCAAATTCTGTTCAAGGATATAACTCAAACACTTCATAAGAAAGCGAAGCCTACTGCATTTATTAGTGATGAGTTATCAAGTTATGAGTTTACACGGAATAGTGATTTGAAAAAGACTTTGTCGCATGTGGAGGAAAAATTTACTAGCGCTGCTGAAGAACTTCAAGCTGCGGAAGAAGAGCTAGCAGAACTGAGGGTTGCTTTGAACAAAGCTAAAGGAACGATCAAGATTTTACGTATAGAAAACGAGGTATTTATAGTAATTTATAACACTAACCAGAATTTTTCAAGTTTTTTTGTGGCCTCTTGTCTTACTCAGATTGCGGTAGGCATTTTTTATGTTTCACTTTTGACTTTGCTTCAAACGTATTTAGGAGCAAGCGAAGAAAATCGAATTTTTGGCTGCCAATAAGCAAAAAAAGAATCTTACTCTGAATGAACGTAATGTAAGTTTGAATTTGAAGGTCGTGTAAATTCATCATATAAATTCATTCCTAAAGAAAATAGCTTTTAAAAATAAGTACGAGTTATGGATCACCTTTATTCTCTGTTGTTTCCTTGAATTAATCGTTAATTCAAATTGTAAAAGCACAGCACCACCATTTGTGGAACGTGAGTGATATGTTTGATAAAGAAAGTAGCATTACTGGATTAGATTTATACAACCTCGTGCTGTCACATGATTTAATTGCTAAGAGACGAATCACGGAAAAATTGCGAACATTTAAATAAACATATAATAATATGAAGTGATGATATACTGAAGATGAGCTGCTTATATTTCAGAAAGAAGTATCGTCTGTGGAGCGTATTTCAAACAAAGATCTTCAAATACTGGTTAATAAACTCAAGGAGGAGAAAATGGCATTGAATTTGGCTTTAGAAAATAGTAAAGCCGAAGAATCAAGAGTTGTACTTGAGAATAGTCGTTTAAAAGTGATTATTGAGGTGAATTATTCATATATTAGTTGTTTCATATATGTATCTATTAGGTATTTATTGTAGACTAATTACAGGAAGAACGTAGAGAATGGGATCAGATGCAGAAGGACCTGCTCGTTACCGTAAAAGTAGCAAATGATTTTAAAATAGAAGCACAAAAGGAGATGTTAAAACTATCGAATAGGATAACGGAATTACAAAGACGACGACAGAGTGCCGCATTTACTGCCCCTCAAGGATCGTCAGCGGCCTTGTACGAAAAAAATTTTCAAAGCTGGGAAGATAAAGCTTGGCACAGATTGATGCTTGGTTGTGAACGTGGTTTGTCTTCTATATTATATTTCTTTTTATTACGTTATTTTTTAAAAAACTGTTTATATATTGTTTATATATACAGGTTCACGTCGTAATACACTCCTTCGATGGTGTCAAGAAGCAGTTGCTAAATTTTCACACATTGAAATCACCAACTTTAGCAGCAGTTGGGCTGATGGCAAAGCTCTGTGTTCTTTATTGGCTTCTTTTTATCCTAACAAACTGAACATAGATGTTAGTTTTCCTTTCTGATACCTTATTTTTATATAAACTAATAGACATATTTTCGGTAAAAATGATATAAAACATACTAATGTAGTTAACCAAATCAAAACTTTTCAACTCATTAAGTCAACTCATAAAATCATTAAAGTATATTTATTTTAGGAAATCTTCACTTTAGAAGCAGAAGAATGCCTGAAGCTAGCTATCGGAGTTGGTGCTGATATAGGTATACAAGTGAAGGTAGAGGTGGCTGACTTCAGGAAAGATCGTCCAGAGTGGTCTCTAATTATGAAGTATATCCTCAATTTATACTATGTTATTTCGAATGGATCTCATTGTTGAACAGCTCTTTCTTGTCAATCCTTCACTTTCTTAATAATCATTCATTATTTCCATATTTTATTTTGTCCAGTGTTATCTGTACTATTACGATTTTGTTGAATAACGTGATGAAGAAAGTACCTTGCTTATTCAATAATTACTTCAGGCAAATATTTTGATCTAGTACTGCTCTCAATTCGAGCTGAAGCAGGCAGTATACTGTTTGAAAATGTTTTATGAGATATACTGATCAGAATTATTGTCAGGTGTAACCAATTATTTCGGCTATACAGGTTATAAGTATGGAGACATTTTATCTTTTTCGGATCGCTGATAATTTATAATATAGGCTTAATATTTTAAGTACATCATGCTTTATACTGATAGCAACATAGCATACAATCCGCTTCAAAGTTTCTGGAAAAGTATCCCTTTCTTTTATGAAAAAGAAACTTTTTATAGGAAGATCGAAATCACTTTCACAAGAGTTGACTTCAGTCAAGCTACTTCCACACTTGTTTTATTCTGTTGTCAATAATTCCGTCATTCTTTCATATGAATAACTATATGTATAAGTTTTTGTTCACTTGATTAAATTTCTTCATTCGTGTGGCTAAAACAGATTCTCGAAAGGAGCGGAATCGTGATAAATAGGATATTAGCAGCTTGGTTAAGGAAAATGTTCTTCATTGTAAAATTATTCTCTCTGACTGCAAAAAGTTGCTTATACTTGCAACCATAAGAAAACTACCAGTTTAGATTTTTTCGATGGAAACTGTTACTATTAATAAGATTATAGTCGAATTATTACTCCCGCCGATTTTTAATGAAATTAAAAATAGTCAAGTAGGGTACCGTTGCATTATTTTACACCTATTATACATATATTTAAATTGCACTAAAAAAAGTGGAATTATTTTTTGAAATTTCACTTTCAGTGTAATGATACAGAATAATTGGAAACGTATTTGAATTTTTTTTTATTTGAATTTGGAAACATGTATTTGGAAACGTATTTGAAAAACAAGCACCTGAAGCTGCTATAAAAGTAAAACTTGTTGGTTTTTCCAGCTGAATGAATAGAATTTATGTGATTAGAACAAATTCTCCAGAAAGACGAAGTTATGACAAGTGATCCTATTTATTAGTTATCAAAAAAAATCAACAGTTATAAGGCTAATCTTTTGCTTTATGACATAAGATCCGGAGAAATTGCAATTGAGGAGGCGTTTTTATTATCTCTAATGACTGTTTGAGTGTTGTTAAGTTCCTTCTCAAAATGTCACTTTTATTGATTCATCCACTCCATTTTATCTCTTAATCTTATCTGGGCACATAAATGTTCTAAAATTTATCATATTGCTAAGAGGAACATCAATTTTTAAAGAAGGATCACAAAATATTACCTAAAAGTGATGATTGGTCAAATATGATGGATGGTGACATTTCCGCCTTCATTGTCCACAATATCCAGAGAAGTGATATTTCGTTTAATAAAAGATAATTCAGCTGTTTAATAACATAAAACAAGAAAAAAGACGGAATAATAATTTTTGAAGAAATTGCGCTTGTTTTGAAGATGAGATGAACATGTTAATTACGTGTCTATTTTTATAAATCATTTCCATTATAACCTTTTATCCATCCTTTCCCCACCTCTCCCATTCCCTCTATATATTGCGGTTTCTATGGAATGAATTTTGAATGATCCATTTCGTACAACAATACTCACTCATCCAACAACATCTCTTTGCTCCTTAAGATGATGACCCAAATCCGACTCCCTTCCTTTTTTCCCTCCCTCTCTCTCTCTCTATTTCTTTCTCTTCCTCTTATTTCATATATCTTCTAATATTACTATTCTTATACTATTTCGTTAGTTTCACTATGTATTGTCATTGCCAGCAATTGTTATATAAATATTTTATGATTGATTGGATTATAAAACAACAGGCATTCTTGTCCCAATTTTTCGATTAGAATTTAATTTTGAAAATTTCTTAATTCATTCTATCATCATTCTAGCTCAAAATTTCCATTATATCTGTTAAAATTATATTATAATTAATAGATTGACTGTTAGATTAACTATTCCATCGAATAAATGCTATCAGTATAATCTAATTTATCATCTTTACCATGAATAGTTTTTCAATTAAACTCCTTTTCTTGCATTAAAGATTAATTTTTGAAATGAAATTGTAAACATGAAAGAATGAGTAAACATTTCATTCACAACGTTCAGTTCTATTCCTCTAAGTTCAGTGATAATTTAGCTGTTTTGCATCAATTATTCAACGGGGAAAAAAAAGAAAATAGAATGATAGTAAGTTGAACAAATAATTTTAAAAAAAAGAGAAATTTTTTTTTTCCAAACATGTTCCAATTCGAAGTACGATGAAGAAATTGTACGGAACAAAACAACCGTAAATTCATTTTAAATTATTATCCACTTCACCAATATCTAATTACAGTTTGCGCTCCATTACTACATCGCTGATTGCAGAATGTTTGCATTGAATAATTTTGAATTGTATAGGAACAATTTATCCAGTCTTCATATCAACTACAAATGCCGGTACTTAAACATTCACTTTTTTACTTTTCAAATATCCTGTCAGATATATCTATAATACTTCTTAAACTATACTTAAAAGATCAAAAGTTGCAGGAAGAAAAAAGAAAAAAAAATCTCACAATCAACAAAATTAAAGCATACGAACTAATTTTTATTACTTTTTCTGTCAGTAAAAACATGACAATTGTTGTCAAATTCAATTCCATACTCTTTTCACAGTTCTTAGTAGTGGGAGTAATTATTAAATGCTTCTTTACGGTTAATTAGATGATACAGCATTTTATAGTTGAATTAGTCTGTCTATTTTGATTCCTACAATAGTTTGTACAGAAGCACAGAAACATTCCATGAAGTCGTAATTTGTGGCATTCATTTATTCTTTGCAACAAATGATATCATATCCGATCATTTCGTTACGGGACATTTCGTTATGCCAAAATTATGTCATCATTAAAAAGATCTTCAAAGGAATATAAAGAAAATTTATTAATAATCCTAAAAGACATATAAACCTACGCTATTCCTTTTCTCATTAATTACAGTAATTACAGATATGCATTACCATTTGAAAAATTGGATGATCCAATTGAGAAAACGATATTGTTTCAAAAAAATTGGAGTCAAACGATTAATGTTTCAATAGGCTACTTCTTTATTATCAAATTAGTGCAATATTTGATGAAACATCGATCTCCCTTCAAACTACGCTGGCCTCTATTCATTTGGAATCTTTCACTCGCTCTCTTCAATATTTTTGGCTTCATTCGCTTTAGTGAAGCAAGTTATTACTATTTTTCGCTCACATTATTCATATAAAATATCATATTCTTAAACTTTTTTCATAATTTATAATATTACCCGCTATTGGTATTGATCATTAATTATTGCTTATCCATTTTCCAATAGACAGTAACATTTCTTATCGTACTTTCAGGAAATAATTTACTCATTACTGTATGAGGGAATTTATCGATCCTTATGTTATTCGGTAAATCCCACTGATGTCGCAGGTTATTGGGCATACTTATTTTTCTTGTCAAAAATTGTAGAACTTGGCGATACATTATTTATTGTCCTCAGAAAGAAACCTCTCATTTTTTTGCATTACTATCATCATACTTCAGTACTTATTTACACTGCTCATTCAGGTAAGTAAATCATACCTGATTATTACGGTTAATAATGAAACAGAAAATTTTTTAACAAAATTTTAACAAATTTTTGACAGTATTGCTATAATACAAGTTGATCTCTATAGTAGCAAATAATTTTGCAGTAATATAACATTTGCTGAATTGTAGGTGCCGAAAATACGGCCTCCGGAAAAGCGTTTATTCTTATCAATTTTCTGGTGCATTCTGTCATGTACACATATTTTGCAGTTGTAGCTTATGGAATACGACCGCCCAAGTAAGAATTAACTAAATATGAGGAATGTTTTTGTTGAAATGCCAGAGGCTTTCCCTTTTACTTCGATCTTTTACATCTTCACAATACCTTTCTCATTTAATCGATTTGGAAATCCTCCAAGGCAGTTTAAACTTTACATTTCAGGATAATATCAATGACACTGACTATATTGCAGACAGTTCAGATGTTTGCAGGAATCAGCATTCTCGCATACATCTATCAGATCAAAACTAGAACCAATTTGCCGTAAGTTCCCATTTGTCATATGTTCATTTTGTTTTGGGTGCTTACAAAAATGAAAATCACTAAGTATGAGTTTTTAGCTAGTCCATAACATTTTTCATGTCTCTTTTCTGAGGGAGAAATATTTCAATAGATGCAAGCTACTCCTCTGCGAACTTAATGTTAACAGTATATGTTGCCAAAGCAAATCTCCACTGATTAGATTAATTAACGGTAATGTTCCAGACTTTAGTAGAGGCGGAGTTCATTTCAGATGTCAACAATCAATACAGAATCTAATTTTCGGCGCATTGCTGTATGTCACTTTCGCTGCACTTTTCATCCAGTACTTCATATCCACTTATTTCCTTAAATCTGTTAAAAAGATAAAGAACCAATAATCTTCAACTTATCTTTAAATATCACACTTTTTTGTATCTTGAAATCAAATTTTTGCATCCTAGGGAATTTTTTAAATAAAAATTGCTGATCGACATAATAAATTTATCTAGATAGAACTTCACAACACAAAATACCGCAATACTTTAACAATTCATCTGTTTCATTCAACACATCTCTTATTATTGTTTATACTGAATTTTTAAAAATATAGGAAAATAAAAATTGTACACATACATATGAATTTTTACAAACAGATCAATAACAAACAAGAGGAAGGAATCCCTTAATACGAGTATTCTGTGCGATCAAGGGATTCATTATTAGTGATTCCCTTCGACAGAAAGCATTTCACAGCTGCTAACCTGAACAAACATGAAACGTTGTGAAACAGTACAATAATTCGTCTGAGAGATCCATTCCACAAATAAAAACAAATAAATATAAATCTATACAATATCTTCACACAGCATTGACATCTACAAGCAACAATTAAACAATGCGAAAGGAAATAAAGTGCAACTTTCATCAACATACAACATATCTAAGCGCACAAATTAATTACACTCCGAAATGGCTGAAGAAAGACTGATGCAAACTTTTTCGTTAACACATCAGCTTCAAAAAACAAAGTAAAATACCGCGTTTAAACTCCACGCTTTTGTTAATTGTACGAACTCTAAAAACTTCTCAATTCGAACATTCGCTAAACAAGCAAAAACAATAATTTCAGATCGATGACTAATTATTTCACATCAGTTTTTCACTTCTCCTTTTCACATTATCTCAACAGTCTGCAGTGTTACCTGTAAAGGAATATGGAGAAAGAAAAGGAAAAAAAATTAAACGGGATAGACACAGACGTAAGAAGATAATTTTTTTTAATATTTTAGACAAAGATTCCTCCTTTCAATGACATCAAAATTCATTACAAAAAACATATAAGTAAAAAATTCATCGACGAAACATTCCGAAGATTTGTGATGATATCTTGTCAGCTAACTTCGAATTTTCCAGCCTAAACTGGCTGCTTGACGATCCACTGCTTTACGAACATTCATTGCCGTAAGCCGACACACCGGCGATGCTGTCCAGCATTCCTGCATCATTTGCAACACTCCTCCCATCACCTGAAATACTCCAGAATTGTGATAATATCTGTACAATCTCCATGATATATAATAGCTTCCAAACTTCAACAAACATAGTGCTTGGATTACATTCTAATCAAAAAGCACTTTTCCGATGTGAAAATTTATCAACAGCTGTAGTCTAAGAAGCAAAACATATAATGGGAAACCGTAGTCTGAAAAAAATAAAAAAACAGTGAATTGCAAACCTTATCACCAATCCAGTGCTCTTGAATAGTAGGTCGTCGTTTCTGTACACAGACACACAATTTCATCTCCTCCATTGTTGGATCTCGGCCCACAAAGTCAAAGTATGGTAGTTCAAACTGTCTTGATTTTTCTGCAAAATCATTGGTTGCGTATCAAAACACGTGCATGGTTCAATGCATGTGACATCAGCTGTGCAGTCTTACCTTGGTTTCCGCATCTCCACATAATCTCCCAAATAATAAGACCCATCGAATACATGTCAGCAGTTTTATAGGCTTCGAAATGATTCATTGGAAAACTGTTGTCCAATATCTCTGGGGCCAGGTAACGCTATAATGACATTAAGAAACCAATGAAGAATAGAAAAATACCTGTCGAGTAGCGATAAAAACAATTTCTTTTACGAAGACAAACCTTTAGAAACAATAACTATGTTGATTCAGTATAATTCTCAAGCAATAAACATTATTTTGTTATCCTAACCGAGATATCACTTGCTATATATCATGGTATCTCTCCATATCATGAAAAAAAAAATCAAGAAATACTCATGTTAGAATGATATATATTACAACTATTATCTTTAAAAAGTTTGCGAAAAGTACTAATGAATACTTATTTGCCTGTGACGAAAATGAAACTAATTTTGTTTTTGTCAGTATAAAAATCCCTCTCTTTTACTACTTAAAATATACTGGAGATAGCAAACAAAAGGTACTTATTTTTAAAAATTCAGGTCAAACTTCAACGACTGTATATGAATATTGAAGAATATGTAATTCGTTTCTGTTGGGTAACACATTCCATTACATTAAGGGTAAAACTTACAACAGTGCCACACTTGCTGTTGTCTGGAATATTTATCTCACCATTCATGTATCGTACTGCCAAACCAAGATCAGCAATCACGCAAACCAGATCCGATTTCACCAAAATGTTCTTTGATTTTAGATCACGATGGGCAATGGCTGGCTTTCCTGTAATCATCGAGTAATACTTCTGTTAGAAGTCTGCATTTTTGTAACTATTAATTTCAAAAAACTTGCCGCGTGGACCAGGAATTTCATTGTGTAAAAAAGATAAGCCAGTTGCAATACTGCGAATCATTTGCAACATCACTGGTTCACTGACAATGTTTGAAGATAAATAATCATAAAGAGAACCATGTTCGTGGTACTCAGTTATTAACCACAACTGGGTACTCGTTCCAGTATCTACAAAATATATGTCATTCAGCTATCCATATAGAAATAACTAGAACAACAAAGTTTCTTAGTGTAAATACATATCGGGAACAATCAGCCAAAAATGACTATGAATGCTATTGTAATGTTTTTCATAGATTTTTGAGCTTATAAATTCCTTTAATTAAATTTTATCCTAAGTTACTGCAAGTTTAGAGATAATTGTACTAGCTTATATTATGCCTCCTGCAAAACCTGAACAAAATATCACAAAATGGCATCGACTAGACATGTTGAATCCTGATAGAACATATAATAACTTTAAAAAAATAATTCATATAATGGACAAAGAAACGTAACTAATACCACAAAAATTTAATACCTTTATTGTCAGATGCAATAAAACGTAGCAAATTTGGATGTCGGAGAAGATTTGTTTGAAAAATCTCGACTTCTCGACTCCATGACTTTTCATCACGTGAACTAAATATCTTTACAGCGACCTCATCACCTTTCCAATATCCCAACCAAACCTGCAACGCAGAGCACGAAAGTATATTGAGGCTGATGTATTGACTCGGAATGCTAAAAAACCATTTTTTAAAATAATTGCAACATTACTTCTCCAAAACGTCCTTGCCCAATTTCTTTCTGCAGTTCGATTTGACGAGCGATAGTACGTTGAGCAAGTAATGGAAACCCTAGAAATTTTACTGAAACAGTGTGTTATTAAGGCATAGGTTTTCTAATGAATAAGTTATTGTGTTACCCTGCTCTGTCTGTATTATTCTTGTTTAAATTATTGAACAAAATGCTCTTTTCTACTTCTCTACTCCTTTTCTTCATCATTTAAATCAAAGATACTATAAATTTGTAGTTTCAATCGCTACATCTAATTCAAAGACTAATTTAATTTGCAATGAAAGAAAATGTACCTGAACCAGAGCCAGTGGTGGCAGAATCATCTAAATTGTATAGTAAATCGCTCAAATGTCCTAAAGCATCCGTTGAGTTCATCAGCAGTTTTTCCTCTCCAGTACTTGAAACAGTATCATTACACTGAACAAACATAAACAACGATAAAGTAAAATCATATTTATAATTTAATTATTAGTAATGAAGTAAGAAAAATATATCTGAAAGATTTCCATAAACTGGCACCAAAATGTTGTGCCTGATGCTGACAACAAACGACTTTACTTTTAATTAATGCATTGACAAAAACCAGTCACGACTTTTTTTAGTTGAAGAAATTATGAAAAAGGAGGAAAAAACTGAATTGCACCGAAAAACCGAATTGTCTTAATGGTTTGATCAACACATTTCAGCATGGAAATATATAACTGAACTAAAAATAATTACTTACACTTCGGAGTACTCCTCGCCAGAATCATGATGTGCCCAGTAAAATATCCATCGCTTCAACGGTTTGTTTATCCAAGCAAGAATTAAGAACACAGAAGACGCAAAAATAGCAGTTCCTATCAAAAAGATAATCAGACAGCGAATTAATGGTATGCTATTGTCCTGAAACTGCAGAAAATGAAAAAAATTAAAAAGGAAAAACTTACAGCAATACTAAAAAATAGTATACTAGTTTCTAAAAAATCCTTACAACTTTTTTTTTGTACACCTCAAAAACAAGCTATTTCAATTTTTATACCTATATATAAAGTAATTAAAAATATAATTTATAGGAGTTTTTCACGTAGGCATTACTGTCTCAGTAATCGAAATTATAAACAAATAATGTTTCATAAATAAAGGAATGCACGGCATCTTACCGAACTATAATAATTTAATGGATTCAAATCCAGAGCTCCATTACAAAACGAATAATTCTGGCAACACTGCATTATACTTCCATCATTCATTGGCTGTTTGGCTCGGCAATGCAAATCAGGACTGGCATCTTTACTCAAGCAACTAAAAGTATTATACTTATTTGACTATACTACTTTCATTGATAAGTTTCTAGCAATAGATTTTTTTTATGGCTAGTAAACAAAAAAGAACAATATGTTAGTGCTTACAAACTGGCATACTTAAATCATATCTCATTCAATTTTCATTAAATGAATGCAAAAATAACAAGCTGTAAGAAAATCTATAAAAAATAAAGTTTCTTTCAGTTATATAGATGTCTAAAACCATTAACCTTAGGATAACCGATCGATCGGACAATAAACGTTTATGACATATTCCACTAGTGGATCGACAAATTCCTGTGTAATTACTCCCCAAAAAACGGGTAATCTCCTCACCACAACCAGCATACGAGCAATTGCAAATTATTTCTTCAGACAAATTTATCGGTTCTTTTAAATCTAAAATTTAAACATAAAAAAAGAATCGCAACAATAGCAAACAGAATATATTGGTTGGGAAAATGGAAAATTGTGAAAAAAAATTGCGAACCTATCTACGCTTCTGAATAAAACTTACCATTTCTGTCGCATAAGTGAGCCATACCTCATTCGGCAAAAAAATTTTTTTCTTATACAAAATTCTCAACCAGAAACAATGTCATCTACAAAAGAATTCAAAATAGATCAAAAGTAACAAACTAACTTGCTTGAAATCGTTCCATAAATTTGAGAATGGCATATCCAGGATCGCTGTTATCCTTAACAGCCGTCACAACGGTTACAGAAAATATGAAAACGAGAAATGCCAATGTCTGCATTATTTCCTCTTGAATTACTGTTCAATCAATCATTTCGAGGAACATTTTGTAAAAATTATCCACATTATCCATTTATAAAATAACATTAGTCTGCAAATATTCTTTTTGATCAATCTGAATATGTGAAAGAGCAAAAGACTTACATCAAATCACTAATTACCTTTAAAATGTAAATAAACATGACCCTTATTTGTATTAATGTTGATTTAACCAACGTTGCTACGACTTAATTAAGTTCCAAATTATTATTATCAGTTTAATATTCACTTATCCGTTCTCTTTGCATTGCATCGCAAAAGATAGCGTAAGCTTAATAAAATGAACGAATGACAATTAAATTTGAGTAAATTATGTAAAAAATTTTCACAACCATTCATTCTTCTTCCTATCATTTCATACTGTATGTTTAAAAACAGTCTGTCCATCCATATACATATCACTTCTTATCATATAGTTAATTAAAAAACTCTGATGTTTGCAATATATTTGACACTTTTTCCGCACTGGCTCCTTTGTTGAAGACTTAAAAAATCTTATTTTGAAAAGAAGATCAGAGGTAATCTTACTATTCTTCATTCTTTGAGATGAAAGTTTGATAGCTTTAAACATGAATGAATTTAAACTAAACATCCATATACAACACATAAACATCCACACACGCACGCACACATACACGCACACAACACGTTCTAGCATCGTTTGCACTGGGAAGGTTTGTACTCGCATTGCAAAAGGCTGCAAGAACGGTGTTACATTGGTCCAGTTTTGCGTGTCTTCACGTTCAAGGTCAGTGGCACGTGAAAAAGTTGTAAACTAATAGATAGTTTGTTTTGCAGGAGAAAAGCTAGACTGTGTTAGATGGCCAATGTCGTCGATAGCTACTGATGAAGACATTGTGGATAGATGGATTGAAATTGATGATTCAATTAGTGTTCCCGAACAAACTCTTAACGAGATCCTTGCCGATGTAACTATTCATTGAAACATTGTAAACTTATCTTTTTTTTTCAAAAAAGTGATTCGAATACACTTAGTTACACAGTTTAAAATTCAAATATTACATTTTTTTACAGAAAATCTTAGATTTGGATGAGGAGATTCTGAGTGGGTTAGATGACGAGGAATCGCTATTCACGTCACCGCGACAGTCAAGTCCAATATCGTCTGTTTTTTCGTATACATTAGATTCACCTCTTCATATCACTGAATTAGGTATCTATTTCTTTACTGTACTGAAAGGCATGATGTCGAGCCAGAAAAAAAAATAAAAGCTATAATTTAGTAGAAATCTGTCTTAAACACGAGTCACCAGTTTATTTCTTTATGATTCGCTTAGGTCGAGACCAACCACTAACAAAGAATAGCGATTTTACATTCTGTTTAAACTCGTTGGTCAGACTGCAGTCGTGTGAAGTATTTAACTAGTCAACGCACAGTGTTGCTGGAATTATATCCTTAAAAAGCTTCTTGGTATATTCTCGGAAGTACCATTACTTTGGATATATCTGGCCTTTTTGTATGTGGCAAAATATTATGACTGATGTAAAAGACGTTAATTTTAAACCATAGTGATGTACTCTGTTAACCGTTAGTTAGGGGGCAAAAACAAAAAAATTTTTCAAATATTGTGTTTAATGTTATTGGTGTTATCAGTAAAGTTTTCGGTGGAAATTCTTCACTGAACTAGTTTTAGAGTTCATTACATGTCAGTTGAAGACGCGGAGCGATCGTAATTCTGGAGGTCACGCTAGGGCACTGGCTGTTTCTGGTGCTAATCTTGCTATCGGAACAAGTCGTGGAGTAGTACTGATCTTTGATTATGAAAATCGAAGGTTACTGCAGCATTTTTGTTCTAAACCTTTTAGTTCATTTTTAACCCACAGTTTAAGAGCAGGTATTTATCTTTAGAGGAGTGCTGATCTTGATTTATAGGTTGCTACATTCGATAACAGCAGACGGCTGCCCGGTATCATGTCTTGATTTCAATAAAACTAATACGGTATTGGCCATTGGTTATGGTTCCGGTTTAATACGTACATTCAGTGTTGTTACGGGTAAGATAATGGACGACGTCGGCGATGTAATACAGCCGGGACAAGGTGTACTACAAATTCTTTTTTGTGCAAGGTAAATTTTTATTTATTTGCGAGATGTTTTTATTCATTTCGTTCCTTTTTTAACTAAATCTTGCAATAGCTGTTGGAGACTACAATACCAACTCTATCTGTCGAACAAATTGGAAATTAAGAATTTTGTTGGGTTTTTATATATTACATAATTACTAATAATTATTATAAATAACTTATACATGACTTCATATAGCAGATATGATATTTTTACTTGAACCAACCATAAATTTTGTTATACCATATCATTGCTTTTTTCTATTCATATCTTTTCCAATCTGTTAATTGTTTCAGTGACAGAAGACTTGCTTGCCTGGACAATGGAGGTTCGGTTTATGAACTAACATTGCCAACAACGGTTCGATCATTGAAAACGCGCTGTGTTTTCTCGGGCTGTCATGGAGAGGTGTATTATTTAAAAAAAAAATCAATTAGTTGCACCATTAAATTATGAAAATGTAGTTTTCAAAATATGATTCCAGGTAGTATATTTAAAAATGTTGGACAACGATCATATACTAGCTCTCTTATCACTCAAGAAATTGTTTTTAATAAGCTTGAAGAAGATGCATTTGATATATGCCACTTCATTTAACGGACCCGCCAATCGTCCGCCTTTGATTGATTGTCAGACAATAAATGTCAAAGTAAGCTGATGTATCATTCCACGTCGTAATATTGCTGATAGATTTTGCGCTCTTTTTAAAAAATATTTCCTCTTTATTATAATAATTTGACGTGATATATTCCAGCAATGAAAATTAGAGCGTTAGAGTAAAAAAATATTAAATATTTGTTTTCAAACTTTTAGACCTGGCTTATTTTAACATCTTCCAGGAAACATCACAAAACAAGGCTACTGCTTTCTGTGTGGGACGTGGTTCGAAAGTTGAATTTTATTATTTAAGTTATGCATTGTCAAATTTGCGAGTCATACGTTATCGGTGAGTCTCAACATTGTTTCTTGAGTCTCTAATTTTCTCCACAAAATTTATTTTTGTTTTTTTGTGTCCGGGTTTAAAAATCAAGTCCTGCTTTTAAGAACATATGTTGAATGCTATCTGTTGTATGGTTATATATCCAGTAAAAGTCTAATCTCAAATAAACAAATATTAAATATATTTATTCATTTGAGCTTAGAATTTTTTAGACTCTGTTTTTGATAGGATTTTGTAAAAATCCATTACCAGAAGATTTATTGATTTTTATTCTTTTGTGATTTTGTTCCATTTTCTCAGTAGTTTATTTCCTCTTTCTTTCCATTTTTTATTTTTTCCTTCTAGAGTATTATCGTTGGATTTCGACCTGATAAATCTGAAGTGGGTAGAACCATGTTATTTGGTCGTCGTAGATGTTGATGAAAGAATTCATATGATCGATATTGTACAGGGAGATATTGCAATGGAAAATATTCGCGATGTACAGCTAGCATATGCTACTGCTGATTTCAAGGTATGATGAATAAATAACGCAGATGAAGAAGAATAACAGTGAGAAATTTTTGCAGGGCTTATCTACTGGCGGTAATGTAAGTGCTGCCTTGGATTACATGGCTAATTGCGTGTGTTATCAGTCCATTTGTCGTGTTGAAAATTTGATATTTCTTCTTGGCGAATGTTCTGTTTATATGGTCTCAATAAGCGATCAAATGGCGCAACTAGAGAACTTAATTGACCGGTTATTTTTATTATCAGTCCATCATTACTGATATCTAGTAAATGTGGATTCAATCTTGTGTCGAAAGATAAAAAAGCGCAGTATTTTAGAGAACAGATAGTACCAGCGATTCTATTTGCTCTTGACATCATTATGGGTAGAGTAGCCAATAAAACGAAACGACTGAATTTAAAACATTTCGTTTATTCACGAATTCCTACTCTTATTCAAGCGTTGCTAGCTTTGACTATATCTGGTCTTGCGAATGGAAAAATAACACAACTCATTGATCACTATAAAGTAAGTAAAAGTTGTTCTGAGAGAAGATTGTACTTAGTTTGTTACTCATGTTGAAATTTATAACGAAGATATCTACAGAGGAATGTGATATGCAAAATATAGATCTACAGACATCAACATAGTGCATATCTAATATGAATATAATTTTTCTTCCTTATAGATAAGAATATGTCTTACTTTATTTCGATAACTTCCAGAAACATATCCAACTCCTTATAAGAGCTTGTGTCATGACTAATCAGTTTGATTTACTGTATAGTACAGTGTACAGCTGTTTGGAAAAAGACACCCTTTCTAAGGCAATATTTTTTGAGTTCATCGACGAAGTTGTATTAGATGGACGATTGGAAGACCCACCTCCTGCACTGGTTCGTCTCTTCTGCTTTTATCTATTGCGTTTATCTACTTATGAAATCTACCATTTTTTTTGTTATTTTGTAACTGCCAATGTAGCTCAAGTTTAAACTTTCGGGAAGCCCATTCGGCTTTCTGATGTAAAGTTGCACAGAATCCGAATGGTAGCATTTGACAGTGGAGATATTAAGAAACAATGTTTTACTTTGAATTTTAGTAATGAACAACTCTATTTTAGGTCTCTGATTATTTTCATCATTTGATATCAGAAGGCAATTTAAACCAATTTGAAGCAGCGGTAGTGCGTATCTCAGTTGAGAAACAGGACATTCATTTCGTGATGACCACTTGTAGAAAAAATAGACTTTACGATGGCGTTATATATATTTACAATAAGGCAATGTCAGATTATATTGCGCCACTCGAGGTAAGCGTGTATATTCTCGCCGTTATATCAAATTTTTACATCTTGAAACAAATTAAGGTATGCATTAGACAACACATTTAAGACAACCAGAGATAAAATAAGTATATAGCAATCCGCAAAATAACCATTATCATAACGGCCAAAAATATACAGATGAGCTTTCAAAATCGACTGCCAGGAGAATAATGTCGATTATTTAGTCTGCTGCTAATAAAAAAGAAGCAGCATCAGGTAAAATAGCCAGTATTACACACTTTCAGTACAATTTTCCCAGTGATTCCATCCAAAGGTTGTCCTAGTAACAAAATTTTACAAGCAAGCTTATTCCAGAACGTAAGATAAATGTCTTCTGCACATTTTTTTGCTTTATAGTTATATACTTTTTTGCTTTCAGACGACACTTTTAATACCATCTCCTATAAACTATCGGAATAGGATAAAAGAATTTTAATAAAAACGAAAAAAATAAAAAAACAAATAAGGATAAAGAACTTAATAAAACCAAAAAAACAAAGACATAGTGCTACTATTGTGAAATAAATCACTAGAGCAAATTTAATAATCAGTATGTACATTTTTTGTAAATTGCATACTTCACCAGATACGGCTTTTATAGAGAAAACTATTGAAATAGCAATTATAGTATTTCTCAGTTTTTTTGTGCTGACAATCAATATGTACATAACTTGTTAATTTTCACCATATAAAGCTGTCACCATTTAGTACATCTTTACCTTCAAGTTATTAAAATTTCTTGATGCATCTTACTACCACAGAAGTTATAGAAATGTAAAATGATTTACTTCCCGCTTGATTATAATAGCTTGTAATCTTGAAAACAACCTTTGTTGTGGTAACCTATAAAGATTTTCTCCTAAAATTTTTTAGTGAATGTTGCAGGAGATATTTGATAATTTGGCGGAACTTATCGACTGTGAAGTGCTGTCAGATTGCGAAATAGCACTAGGGAATAAATTATTATTGTATATTCAATGCTGCCTGACAGGCAGAGCCTATCCAATTGGATCTTTGCCAGAGAAGATTGCTGCAACTCTTCCTTTGCAAGTGTATCGCTGCTTGGTTTCCTACAAAGGCAAGAATGGCACGTCAGGTAACTTCCTCTTTTTCATCGTCATTATCATTTATCTCTTAAGTAATTTACAGATCTGCTGTTTTCCAAAATATATTTTTCAGCCTCGGTTATATATCCATATTTACGACTACTTATCAAATTTGATGCTGTTCAGTTTTTTAACGTCATATTTACATGTTCAGACAGTGATATTTTTAATTCAAAGTAAGTTTACTTCAGCTAAACTCCAGAACACAAGTGGTAAATGATACATAAGAGTAGCGCTGGTCTGTAACAACTCTTCTGAATTTTATTTTTGTATTCTGAATGAAGCGTAATCGAGTACATCTCATCCAGTCACTGCAGTACAGTTTCACATTTAATTCATTAATTTATGGGTATTGAAAGAACTTTATGTATTGTAGATTCCTTGTAGATATGTAGCTAAATAGAATGAACGTTTCTCAAAAAATGCTCGTAATTAAGCTTGTATGTCACTATTACTTCTTATCTTTTATCTGCCATCACTATTCCCATTTGCTTTCAGAAGAATTGAGGACCATACATGCTTATCATTCCACTGTATCTCATTTTCTCTTCTATTCGAGACAAAATTCTATAGTTTTAGAGATGGGAGATTGCAGAGAATAACAGAGGTGATATATCAAATAATTAGTTCGATGGATAGAAGCGCAGTGCTTTTTGTCAATTATTTCACTCTTGTTGCTTACCTTTTGCAGAAAAAAGTAATTTTGCCAGCGCTTGGCACAATTAACGAGGTATATTTCAGTTGAACATTTTTCATACAATTGTGATTGGTACAGATTCGGAAGTATGCATGTAATCCAAGAATTTTGTATTGCAGTTAATCGAAATGGTACTATCATTTGGTGAGTCTATTGAGCGGATTGCAGATGCTGAAAGATCTGTTGTGGATGTAATGAGAATTGTAAGTGGTCTCGATGAGATGAAGATATTGCGGCAAGCCAGAAAACTGCCTCAGTATGTCCCTGCTACTTTTGAATCAATCATCTTTATCTTAGCGGCATTTTTCTTCGCTTATAAATCACCGGAATGCAAGATTTACAGTCGAAAATTATTATACTAATTTGTTTTTTGATTCTATTAGGCATAATTTTCTTTTTTGTGGTCTTATTTGAATATTTTTAGCTTACAGGTCTGCTCACACATTTATATAAACAGGCGGGAATTCGTCAGTTTGGTGGAATGTTATTTGAGTAGCTCAGCGAATGCAGTATGTTATATCTTTTCTTCTCTGCAATTAACACTTTGTTGATATTTTATTTGATATTTTCTATCAAAAATTTAGAGAATGCTTTCTTATGAATCCAAAATAATATAATATGCATATTTTCATGCACTTGTATTTCCTCTGGTTAGAACATTATTGTTAGAACTGCAAGGCGATGAATTGTCGAAATTTCACTCATTTTTATGGAATTCTCTGGAGGTACTAGTTTATAGTTTGAGAAATTTCACTGAGATGATAAATTCTTAAAAAAACTGGTTTGTTGTTTGGGGTAATTCTTAATCTAGACAGATATTTCTCTTCTTTCACAACATTTCTTCATCGATCGCTTTTTAGATATTTGGAAGTGACAGAATATTTTGTTCTTTAATTAATTTCTATTTCATTTTTTATGAAACAGAAGGGTGTTATAGAGATTCGCAAAAGTCGATTATAACCAGACAGCCGAAATGATTCTTGATCACTTTATAGAATGGTTGTGCAGGGAAACTTTGGAAGACAATGATGCATTATTACTCTATTATTACTGCTTTCTAGCAAGGTTAATTTTGCATTTGTTAATAATTTTAATGTGTTTTTTAATTAGAGTAGTTTTGTATTTTAAAGAGCTGCTCATTGTGAGCTCCAAGAAAATTATCGATAACTATGGTTGATAGAGGCTGCTGGACATGAATTTGTGTATTTTAGACGTAATCGTGGATATCGGACTTTAACAGATTTTGAAGAACGTGATGAACAGCTCTTGGTTCTTGCCGTAAGGGGAGCTGTAATACATAAATTATTTGAAAATCTGGACACGGTAATTAAAACTTATTGCTATTCTACGCTTCGACAACGCATGTCTTGTCTGCCTCAGTAATCATTATCAAATCATACATGTTTATTTTTAGCAATTGAGCGAATTTTTACGTTATTGGCTGAAAATAGCATCAAGAACAGATCAATGTTTGAATTATACGGTGAAGCATAAACTTATTTTGTCAAGTGTTTTACTTCTGGAAGCTAGAAAACTTCTAGATGGAGCTTTTGAATTGCTTGATTATGAACTTGAAAAGACATGGATGGAAAACGCAGTGCTTTCATGTAAGTTTTCAGTCTGTGAGCGTGTAAATTGAAAGGAGAGGTAGAAAAATTATAATTTCTTTATTTTTATATGTTTCAGCAAAATATATTTATGAGACAATTCGTTTGGCTAATATTTATCATGAAGAAGCTCGACAAGGAAATTGGCTGTTTAAAATATTAGATAGAATCCTTTCGCTTCCAGAATCAGAGCTGCAAGAAGGATCAGGTGAATCTCAATAAGTTCATTTTTTAATTATTCTGCTTTCGATATTTACAAATAATTCAAAGATTTCGTCGTAGTAGCGTTTTGAAGTTGTGATGTTCTCACTTATTTTCAATATATCACGGAAAAAATATACATCAAAATAATATATAACATAATTTTGTCGCTAGACATTAGGCCAAGTATATAGTATTTCCTTCAGTAAATCGATTTCAATAGATTATATAAGGCAGACTATGGCAGATCCATGTTTTTTTATCAGACTTATAAGCGATTAATATTTGAAAAGGTTCGCAGAACCTTTTTAAATATAATAAAAAATATGAAAATTTTTAAATATAAAATCTGATTTTGAAGGTATGATGGTAGTATTAAACAACGTAATCGCTACAATTCTGGAAAATGGGAGTAGTGATGCAGAACGTTTGGTTGATGCCTTATTTACTCATCCAATATTTCGGTACTAACTAATCGTTTTTTTCTTTCGAATGGACATTAATACTGTTGAATCCTTTCGAAAAAGAACAAAGTCTTCGAGATCATCTTAATGAGAAGAAATTGCAGATGTTCAACATATGCAAAATTCCGTTCACTGATAACATTCATGTTTGCATCGTGTCGCTATGAACATGTACTCCTAAAAGAAACTGTATTATGCATCGAGGAAGAAACTACACAAATGTACCTCGTTTCATTTTATTTCTTATAATTAACTGTTTAGACTGCATTAAAACTTGATCTGAACTTGATAATAAATAACTATTAAGTATCGTTAATAAATAATAAGACAATCACTTAAACATGCTTTGAAATTTTAACATTATGATGTATTTTGTATGATTCAAAATATGAGTAGAGATAAATATGAAGTGTTTTTCTCACTCTCTTAGGTTTTAATAAACAGATTTGTAGATTAAACGATTTAATGAAGCATTCGACAGGTCGCACTGCAGGCTTGATCACATCAAATATATGCATTAGCTGTGGGCGCTCACCAGACAAATCATCATATCTTTACAGGCATGTATTTTAATCCCTAATCTAGGATTATATATTTATGTGCTTTTTTTGGCTCCTATACTAGTTTCAGAGCAAAATTTATCTCCAAATTGTAGTTGTGGCCATATGGTTCATATGGAATGCGATTCTGAGAACAGTTCGCATTATTGTCCATGTCAGACAAACACCTTCAGTTGTAATACTGCAAACAACTTGAGTTACAAACGCAGTCAAGTGATTCGAAAACCAGTGACAGTTGATATCTTTTCAGAAGAATCTTTGAGGTTACTGTTGGGGCCAAATAGACGAGAGTCTTAGGTTTTGCAATATTGTCTTTTTATAATTTTAAAAATATTGTGCATTAATACTGAAAGGAAGTGGATGTTGAACTGAGACCAGTCCGCTCATCAGCTTATGACATTTATAGAGACAACTTAGTTATCCAGTGAATTGCATCACAAAACATTTTGAATATGTTTCATAGAATTAAAACAAGTTTACCAGTCGTATATAATTCTGATTTTAACTTTTACGTGTTTTTCACCTAGCATAATTTAGAAATTTTCACCTATTTTATATTTCTCAATGGGCTGTTTACTAGTTTTTCGTGCAGAAAAAATTCATTTTATCATCGAATAGTAGGATATAAAGAGTAAAATCTGGACCTGAAAACTGAGTCAGTGTTGGCCAGTTCATTTTTCTGGTGTACTATGCGGGTCTTGCATATGCAGTACAGCGGTGAATTTTTTTATTATTAAATAGTTGACAAATGTGTAAATATTACAAAAAGACAAATATATCACAGTAAATTCATCATATCTAATTGTTGCAATACAGCACCAAAGCGGTAGAACGTTTTGAAAGCTCAATCCAAAATTACTGATTATTCGAAAGATAGCCTGAAAAGTTATATCTTTCGTTTTCTCATTGTTGTAGAATAGTAGGGTGTAAATGCGGACATCACTAATTTCTGATTTAAAAAAAATGCAAGCAATTATAGTTATTACGTCATAGTTTCACGTATAATACAGTTTAATGTAGTTTCTTCAATGAGTAAACCAAACTGAAAGAGCTGCAGAAACGAAGGAATTCACTTACAGTTGCCCGGGTGGATGTTGTATTTCATTTGATTACTGAGAAATATAAAGTAAATTTGAGCTGAGGAAGGATGCAAGCATTACAGAACATGCTGTATTACCGAGTATTAATATATCCTTGCGGTTTCGTTGTTTTACTCTGCAATTTTGTAGTGGAGAAAAGAAGGATGACTGGTGATTTATTGGTGCACAACCGGTAGCCATCGGGCCACCCTGCGCGACCAAATCCACTGCAAGATGAGCCATGAATGCCACTTCATATGGTAGCAAGAATAACTCTTCATCCGGTCAATAATAGAGTAATAAAGAAAACGTAAAAATAACAGTATTATGAAATGAAAAGAAGGGCAAAAACGAGACAACGAAGATTATACATAAATTGTTTCCTGTATCTAGATGTTGTGTACAATACTAACCCCATAAATTTAATACAAAAGCAAGACTTCAATGTATAAACATTCAGTGTTAAATACATGACTTCAGTGTATAAAACATAAAACCAGCAATGCGTATTCCAGTCTCGTAATATTATTATTATTGACAGTTGCCTTTATGTGGTGAATTGTAGTGCGAAGAAGTTACGCCCAAAATTGATGCGAAATCCTTGAAAAAAAGTATAGTCATACCTATATGACACTTTAATAAGTTTAAATTGCCATTCTTCAAGAAAATTTTATAACTATTTATTTCATTTCGTTTTTCAAATTTTTTTCGAGCGTTTCAAACATTTAGATGAAAAACAATTTGTAAAAAAATGGTTTATTATCATTACCTTTTGCATTCTTCTTTTCTACTTATTCTACTTTCATTATCCTTCCATCAGACTTTAAAAATGCGAAAAAATAATAAAATCATGAAACAAAAAACGTAAAAAATTTTAAGGCGTCAAAAATATAAAACGCGATATAACCAAAAATTTCACTGGAAAAATGTAAAAGGAGTAATTTTATTTTCAAGTTTGAATCAGCAATAGTTTTACAAATAGTTCTTTTCCCGGTATTTAAAAACTTGATTCTATGCAGTGCGTCTATCAATAAAGTCTTTATATGTTTAATCTTGATTTTTCTTGTCTTCAGAAATTCCTCTGCCTAATAAAACAGTATTCAAGAAAGAATTTACTAGATTGTAATTAGTAATCAGATTGAGGCATCAACTTACAGTTTTTGCAATAATTTGTCAACTGATCTGTCAACAGATACCGCGTCAACTGATGCATTCCTAAGGATCTCTGTATGAACAATGCATGCATGCATATCCTGTTCTTGCAAGGATAGTGTATATCACAGGTTTTAAATTGTATATTTAAATTTGTATACTTAAACATAACTTTGTATTATTTGTTGTATATCATTAAAAGTAAGTGATGCCTTCAACATCATCACCACAATTCATTATACGTTATTTACATCTTTTTTGGTCACACAGATGTTGTGGAAGGTGTTGAAACAAAAAATCATCACTCAAAATATATTTGTTATAAATGTTTTTTTGTATGGCGTTTTTTGAGGAATAACTTTGCATGGTAAGATTGTAGTGAAGATTTTACTATTTTACGGAGAGGTTTATTCTTCTTGACGTTATAATACAATTATCGGAAAATATCGTCAACGGATCGACTCCGTTCTTTTTGTTCACTTAGTTGTTCTTTCCTGGTTGATCCGCAGGATAATTTCGGATTATTCGTTAAGACAGTAATACAAGAAAATGTAAATGGTAAGACCGCTTAGTTTTAGAACAGTAAGTTCCACTACCATACGCTCCTTTCAGTCGGAAGGTGTTCGATGAGCAAGTATTCATCGTGTACATGAAATTGATAGAGAACAAAGAATCTCCTGGCATTGTTTGTAGTAAATAAGCAATGAAACTGATGGTTAACAAAAAATTACTTGATCAGTTGATAGGTAAAACTGATTGCAAAGAATCGCCCATAATAAATAAAGCTGATGGTGAACAAATGATCACCTAATCATTTGAATTTGAAGCCGATGATGAATGAGAATTATATATTAATCATTTAAATATTCTTTAAAATCATAAATTGAGATATTGAATGAAGTACATCCTATCATTTGACTGAAATATTTGATGCAAAGAACTTCTACAACGAAGATTTTATGAATACAAGACACTTTGATTATGCGAATATTTTATATTATAAAATTATTTCGGGTTAGTGATAATATTATTAATAAAATATTTACAAAAACTGTGTTTTTGTTTAAATGTCCAAAGAAAAAAGTTCAACATAACACAACCATTTTCATCGTCAAAATACAAATGAAAAATTTGCAAACTGAATAAATAGTTATTATTTCGCCGTCATGTAAAAATATGGTGGTAGAAAATTATCACAGCATGTAGAAAACATATGAAATAACAAAATGAATGCAATATGAAGTTCTATTCCATTCTCATTTAAAATTTTATATTTCCATCAGTTATTTTTAGCATTCAAAAGGAAATATTGCATAGGTATAAATATATTTTTGACATTCAATCAGGAAATAGTGAGCAAAGCATATATGGCAATGCAAACAGTGCAAACACAATTTAAACCACCACGACATAATAATTTATAGCCCTACGAATGAAATTGTTTGCTTCATTAACATATCTGTGGCGGAGACCTTTTCTATTGCCTTACAATTACGGAGATAACTGTATTTGATGCAAAGAACTTCTGGCTTATTAGCAGAACTTTTATGCTTCTCCATGTATTTTTTCAAATAATTTCAAGCGAATTTCCCTGGCAGCATTGATCACATTCAAATAGTTTACGCCCATATATACCTTTCTATATACTTTCAGATTGCTGCAATCATTCATCACAATAATTTCTCGTCCTCATGTATGTCTCCATGCCCTTGCAGATCACCATCCAATCGTTTGAATTCTTCGCCGCATACATTCAAATTGCGGTTCGTTCCCATGTATGTCTCTGTCCCTGTGCAGACTGATGGACCACGGTATTGATTGCATGCGGACCATTCTTCGTTTGCTCCGCTTGCCACGGTCATTATTTCGCCGTCATTTCTTTTTTCTCGGCTGTTTGAAGGTTGCATTATGGGAATTTCTCGCCTCAAATGATCGGTTATTACTACTTGTATTAATAGATCATCTTCATTTGATACCCGAAATGATTCATGACCTAAATGGTTTGCTGATTATTTTTATTGGAATTTTTTAACA